TTAAAAAAATGTACTTTGTTCAGAAAGTTCCCTGTCTAAAATAGCACATCCCTGATCACAGTTTTCTTGTCTTGATTTTTTTTTTCTTTCATAGTGCTTATCACTAGCTATCATTATATGTGATATATGTCTTACTCTCTGTCTCCAAAACTAGAATGTAAGTTTCATGAGGAATTTCTCTAAGATTCATCATTGGAGGATCTAGAATAGTGCCTGGCATGTAATAACTGCCAGTGAAATGTTTTTTTAAAAGATGAATGAGACTGTAATTATGGAAGTTAGTAAAGTCATAGGAAATGAATGTGTAGTAAATCAGTTATTCAAATCCAGGTATATCTGCTACCAAAATAAACATATTCCCCAAAGTAACCTACTGCTCTCCTAAGCACTCACCTATTTATGTCATTAAATGATATGTAACACTGTATGGTCTGGTCATTATAATTCTATATTCTAATTATCATATATAATCATGTAAATTCCTACTTCCCTACACCTACCCCACTCACAGAAGAATGGTTCTTTTCCCACCTGTGAATAAATTACTCTTTACTTGCAGTGCAATCAAATCATTTTAGCTATTTTCTAAGTTATTTTATGTAATGTGTTACTAAATAATAAAAACATTTTTTTTTGCTTCAAAAAGTTGTACAGTACTTATTTAAAACTAGAAGCCACTGAAGAAGTCATTCAGTTCTTTCTATTCTACGTTATTCCAAATTCTCTTTTTCTATTTGAAGATATCTACAGGAAGGTATTTTTTTAAATATCCCTTAATAAATAGTATATAGTATATATCTCAATTATTTCATTAAATCTTTAAAATAATCTCAACAATACTACCTCAAACCACATATGAATTTTTATTTTTTTTCCTCAAAGCTTAGCAATAATTCATACCACAAGATACATGACTTCCAAAAAATACATATCTCTTATACCATCTTTCAAAATATTATCTTTTTTCCATCCAGCTGAATTCCTTTTAGCATAGTTACTCAGAATCAATCCTACCAAAAAGCAAAATCTTAAATACTCAACCAAATAAATACAGGCAACTCATATAGTTTTATCTCATTTTACTGTCTGATCTTCATGTGTAATGTCTTCATATCAAGTATTTTATAGAATTCAATACATTTAACAAAAAATATAATTTAGTCTATTTGCAATACTCTTTATCTGTTCAATATATTAAAGTATAAACAAGGAACTTCATCCTAAATTTAATATTGTTTTCCTCATTTAAGGGTGGGGAGGATGAGGTGTGAGAAGTTAATTGTCTAAGGTCATACAGCTAATATGTAACAGAGTTGAAATCTGTATATTGAACTCAAGTATATTGCCTTTAAATCCATGATTTCTACTAAAATTTGTGTTCCTTCATAGGATCTATACTGTGGATATAAAAAGATAGACCCAAAGGGTGACACAGAGTATTATTCAAAGGCATATATTACCATAAAGTAAAATGAGTATTATAAGCAAAACCCTTAAGGAACATACAATGCAGTAAAAAGTGTAAAATAAAGCAGGAAAACGATTCCATAAGAGAGTTAAAAATAAAGTGTTCTAAAAGATAAACAACTAGTTGGAAACTGGAGGCTGGGGGGAAAGGGGCAGGAATCAGGATAGGCTTCGTGGAAAAGCAATGGGGAATGGGCAGAATGTTCACAAAGGAATGAAAACACTATGCAAAAAAGGATCTGATGAGCAAAGTCAGAAGCAAGAGTGAATGATGCCCAGGGGGTGGTTTATGTTCAAGAAATAGGCTGTTTTCTAGCCTGACTTTTAAAGCAAATTTTGTAAGAGAATAGTGAAAAATAAGAATGAGGTAGTCAATTGCTTCCATTTCTGCTTCTAATCAACGCTGGACAGTCAATGGGAAGATGGGACCATTACTATTCCATCATTCTGATTTCAATATGGAATCACATTTTTAAATTAAATTTGTTGGTCATTTAAATGTCTTTCAACCCATGTATGTAATCTCCAGGCAACCACAATATTTAAAGTGGCTATTCCAGAATTTCTTCTCTATCAAATACTTCCACAAAATTCTTACCTGCCAATTTATCAATGAAATACCTTCCATTTCTTGAAGATTAATGAGACCATGAAAAATAAGCCCTTTGTACCTGACTTTCAGCAGTGATTTTAAGTATTGTTATTTTCATTCCTTCTCTAGTCTCAGGAAAACAAACAAACAAAAATGTTCCTCTTTAAGGACAGTGCACCCATCTAAGTTCTATAAAGAAACCCTTATCATTCCCTCCTTAAGCTGATTCCTACAGTTTATGATAGCATTTTTTAATTCAAATGTGAGAAGCAGGCCATAGATAAAACAATGGGTATGAAAAGGTTTATAATGAGGATCAGTCATAATACATATCTCTTATACTATCTTTCAAAACACACTTGGACAATACAAAATTTTTCCATGAACCATATACTGCCTGCTAACCTGCCACAATAGAACCTTTACTATATTGCATCTTCAGGTCTTATTGTTATTCTGTTTACCTAGCTACACCATTAGACCTAGTTTCATGATGGGAAGAACTCTATTCATTGGTGAAGAAAGATATTAAGGAAGGAATCATCTAGGACAGCTTCTAAGATTCACATGAAGCTTAATCTTGATGGATATTTAGGAGCTTGCTGGGCACAATAAAGAAGAAAATGACATTAAAGCCAAAAGAAATTGAATGCATTTGATTTAGAAGTGTTAAAGTATAGGATGCTAAGGAATTGCATATACAGGTAAATGACAAGCACATGTAAGAATACAGCTAGAGACAAAATTAGAAAATGAGGCAAAGATAAAATCACAAAAGGAAACAGGGAACCATTTGAAAGTTTTTTTTTTTTTTAATGGAAGTAACATTGTTTTATTCTCTTAATGGTGCATACTTAAAAGTTTTAATGGAGGAAGAGCATGATCTCTCTACTAACAGTGTAGAGCATGCATGGGCAGGGTGAGAAAGTGAAGACAAGGCAACTGTTTAGAAGGCTCCAGCAATCATAGGTTGTTAAATGAGTTTAAACTAAGGAAGCAAAAGTAAAGGTAATTAGGGAAGAGAAGTGAAAGTTATTTAGGAGAAATAATCATCACAATTATTGGTAACTGATTAGATGTGGAGGACTGGATATTATTGCACTGGCTTCTGGCGTAGGGCACTGGATTGCTTATAGTGCTAAGGCCAGAAATGCACACTGACTCTAGCCTATATTGAAATAAGCTCATGATTCCTTTATCACCCAAAACTCCATTATTTAGCCCTACCCTTTACCACTCGCCACCAATTTAATACTGGTGCTTACTGATTCATATACAGTCTTTTAGGTAGTCCCCCCCCACCAACAAGTCTTTCTCTATTCTCAAATTTCTCAAAGCATGCTCCTCAGATTAATTTATGTTTTGTAATTTTTTAACCGAATAATCTATGGTACTTGATAAAATGCAAATTCTTGGCCCCATCCCAAACCCCATGAATCAGTCCTGAGTGAGGAGAACAAAATTTGCATTTTGATGCCCTTTCAAGTTTGAGAACCACAGACTAATCTAGCCTTTATACTACTATCAATTTTACTTTTCTTAAATCCTACTTTCCTTGTGTCACCTCCTTGTTCAAACTAATTTCTAAACATCTGCCTGAATTTCAAAACCCTCTTTCAACTTTATTGTTTAATCTTTCTAATATAAAATATTTTGTGTTCAAAAAGTCAAATTCTTTTCTTACTTCCCTCTTCCCCATCCTCTCTACACACACACACACAAACACACACACACACACACTTTTTGGTTCTTTCTCCAAGCTTTTTTTTACATTGACTATTACTTCCAAAATCTGACAGCTTCTCCATTGTCTCTTCTCCTTAGTCAAATTCAAGCCCTCATAACTATTCCTGAAAACCCAGTTTAAGTTCAGAAATGTGCATGGAGTTTTCTCTAATTACTTATTATCCTCTACTTATGAGCTCCTTTTATACTTACAGTTTGCATGCACAATTTTAGATCTGATTATTTCAATATGAATTATTTAAACTAAAGGTCTTCTTTCATTCTTACTTTCCAACTATCAGTATACCTGGCACGTTTCTTGGCACATAATAAGCACTAAAGAAATATTTGCTGACTTTTTTCCCCTAACCATCACATAAATTAAGAAACAAAAGGAAGAAATATTTTTTTTTAAAAGTAAAACAAGTATTAAACACATTTATTATGCTAAATACTGCAGCAGTTAGTGATGTTAAAGATAATATTTCTTGCCCTGTTCTCCAAATACAAAGTGTTTAGTCATGAAAACAAGGTATTTACAAATAGTTCTCAATTACAATATTGGCCATTTCTGGTATATTATGTACAATATCATGCAATGATAGCATTCAAATACAGTGTCTTGAGCATAAAACATTTAAATGACATCAACAGAAAGAGCATTAAAAATGTAAGCCAATCATTTCAGTTTATTAATTTAATAATTGATCATTAGAGAAATTACATGACTTGCCCAGAGTCACAAAACTGGTTGACAGCACCCAACAAAAATTAGCACAAAGGCCTCCTGACTGTATATTAAGGATTATTTTCATTACACTATGTGCTCAGTTATACCAAAATCAAAGTAAGATATTTTAATAAGAATCTCTGTTAGCATAAACCAGTATTTTAAAAGACTCTTCCTACCACCCTGAGAATAGAAGTGAAACACAATTTCATCAGAATCATAAAGACTGAAACAGGTATTTTTTTTTAAAGTAAACTCTTCTAAGAGAAAATATATATGCATATTCTAGTGTTAAACATTTTCCAAAACCATAGAAAAAATACCATAGCTACATTTTAATCACAAGACCTTAATATTAATCTCACTACTTTGGCAAAATATATACCAAAAAAAGAATCAACCACAAAATACTATAAGCAAAAAAATCACTCAATTCCCAAAAGCACAAATTCAAAATCTATGGTTAAAACACATCTTTGTACTCACCGTAACTTTACTTCCAACTATCTGCATACAGTGATCAACGGAGAGGGGTTAGGGTGTAAAAAAAAAAAAACAAACAGCAACAATATTAGTAATCTGAAGCATTCCACAGAAGTTAAGTGTTTAGTAAAATTAGTAAATAGTTAACCTATGTCTAGATCTCATACTTTAGATCTAGACACTAAAACGAGTATATCAGTATTAAATCTACCAAATCTCAAAAATGTATAAATCTACAGTATAAAGATTCCCAAATAAAGATTATTATCTCAGGATTTAAAAAAAATTACTCTAATAAGGTTCTTGTATACTTTAATTTAAATATCAAGTATTATAAGATTAAGGGTAATCAGGCATCAGCTATTTTACTAGCTCACAAGCCCTCAAAATGATTATCAACAGAAAATTGATTTTTCCCAAATATTGTTTTTTTCTTTCCTTATTATAACAGGCATATTATTAAGGTTGAAACAAGCTATTTTAGAATATAAATGATTCATTTAAAGTGATGCATTAAGAAGAGAATTTTAGATTGAGAACTGGAATATTTTATATTATTATGAACTTAAGGTTGGTAATATTGCTTTGCATTATACTTGAAACTAACAAAGAAGATAGATTGCTTATGATTCTAGTTTTCTAGGTCATCCCAGCGTCTAGTATAAGATCATATTTTCCTATATAATGTGAAACAAAGAGGCATTTTATATCTAAATATGAGCATATTCATAAAGAGGAAACAGAACAAAAATTAAAACATTGATTGGGCTTTCCTAATTGATAAGAGATGAGCGAATTTCTGAGAAGTAGAATTGTGTTTAGGAAACCAAACAGTAAAAGTCATAAACTTAAACATAATTTCATGCCAACATCCAAATATAAAATAATTCATTGTTATCCAATTGCTACACTTGAATAGCAAGCAACATCTATGAAAGGGAGAATCCATAATCTAAAATCATTAATCTGACAGCAATTATAAATATTTGTTCTATTTTGCAGGTAGGATTTAATTTTAAAAATGAAATTTAATGGAAACCTCAGTAAGAATCTTAAATTGTTAAAAAGAATACCACAAGATACAAAAAGAAAATGACAATTCCCAAGTCAATTTTAGAGATCTCCATGAATTTACAAAGAAGCAGCTTTCTTAAACATTCATTCAACAGACTATTTACAGGCAGTGATCATTTAGTTGAATAAAAGCCTCTTTGGTGTCCTTACAATGTTCTGAATTAAAAGATATGCTCTTGACCTACATTATTTCCTCCCACCAAAAAGACACAGATCTTATTTATCCCTTGTTTATTTAGCAAAGATATGAGACTAGAAAAAGAATGCAAGACTGTCTTAATGACTCAGAATGATCTATATTCAGTGAAACCACTGAATATGTCTAATTTTATGATTCATTCGATTTGCAAAATGATTGCATTCACTAAAGCACATACAACAAACTGATTAAATTGGTCAAGAAAAGCTACGAGAAAGTTTCACCATATCCAGATGATGTCTGTAAACATTCTGAGAAAGAAAATGACTGATAATGGCAAAAGTGAAACCACGCACTCATGCACGCACACACACACACTCTACAACTTTCAATTGCTTGTTATAAAGGTTAATCTAAAAAAGTCTATAGATGTATTTGGTAACACTATTTTAAATTATTTCCTATTGGCATTTTTAAATCAATTATAATTCCAAATGGCTCATGTATTTTCAAAAATATATTTCACATAATTGTAAATCTCAACTCCAAAGACTGATTTAAATTAGAAATAAACTAGTTTCTTAACATTCTAATACAGACATTGGCATGTGGCAAACTAATTAGGATTTTAGTGACTAATCTCTCTTCATAAATATGTATATATGCTATTAAGATATAATATGCATGATACCCTTTAAGTCAATGACGAATTGTGTCTTTCAGGATTATGAATTGGTTTAACAATGTTTGCAATATTAACAAAGCATGGTGTTCCATTTCTGAAAACATATGCTGATGCTTTAAAATATAGACTTCTAGATTGTTTGTGGCTAAATGACATATACAGACTACCTTAGGTGAGGTCTATAATCACCCTTACTACAATGAACAAACATCTCAACTCATGCAAAGAGGTTCCCATCTACTCCCTTAATTTCATTCATCACTGACAAAATTACTCAAGCTACTTTTTCCCCTCATATTCACACAACATAACATTCTCATTATGGAATCTTAAGAGGAAAAAAAATAAACCATACATTTCATCTTTATATTTTAATTCCTTTATATTCTTGTAGTCCATGCTAATTGTAGCAGACAATTAAACAACCAAAGAATCTAGTCTGCTTTAAAGCAGGATTTGTGTACATACCTGTGTACTGTT